AGTAGCACTGGAGCAGGGACTTTATGGTCACTGCTGCGTCTGGTTCACCTGCCCACTCCACAGGCCAGTAAGCCGAGAGGAAGGTCAAGTCCAGGGGCACGATCGTGAGTGGCAGAGCTGGGATCTGGCCCTTCTTGCCAGCCATACCAGGACCAACAATTCAGTACTTCACAAGCCAAGTTGGTAATCTGGTACCCGTTTTATCATTTGCTTAATCTTTTCAAAAAGCGATTCACTTAAAAATTATTTAAGAAGTGAAATCTGTATCATCACGGAAGTAGAAAGTGAGCGTCTCTTGGTGTGAAGAGAAGATAAGCATGAAATGCATGTGGTGGAAGCCAAGCTGCGCTGGAGCCCCGGGCCTCTGCCCGCCCCGGGTATGATGGAAGCAGAGCTGGCGGCTCAGATGGGGGTGGGTGTGTGTGAGTGTGGCGTGTGTGTGTGTGTGTGTGTGTGTATGTAACTGTTGCAACACAGCCCACCTAGCTAATCGGCATGATCGGCAGAGAAGCTCGCTCACCCAGGGTGTGAGTCAGTGTTTTGTGACTTAAAATGGCATTTTTAATTTACAATTTAAAATCTCTACCTCCCACCTGCCCGTGCTCACGAAGGGCGGCACTGAGTCAGCGCCTGCTGTCCGTGGGTTTCCAGAAGTTGGAGATGATGTGGGTGCTAAGGCCTCCTGGAGGCAGCTGGGGAGAGGGTGCCCAGGCTCCACTCGGCCTCAGCTGGTCCCACCCCGGAGGGGCTCCAAAGCTGGAGGCGCCTTGGGGGTGTGTGCAGTCGGTCGAGGGGGCGGCCTTTGCACTGATGTTGTCCAGCCCGGGGTGTGGGCTGTCCTCAGGAGTGGGCGTCACAGCTCAGGCAGGCCAGTTCCTGGAGTGGGCTTGGCTGGGGCCATTGGCTGCCACTGCTCCCAGCGTCCAGGGGCCCGTGTATCTGTGCCCTCCCTGGTGGGAGCAGCCTTGAGCCCCTATCATCCACAGCAGCCGTGGAGGTGGCGGGTGCTGGGGTCAGCTGCATTCCCATGTCCTGTGGCCAGGCAGCACCGGGGCAGGCGGGGTGGGCTCTGCAGGCGAGCAAGGGCCTGGAGCACAAACCTGCCCACTGGTGCCACTCTGGCCGCACACCCCTGGCCCACCCACTGACCACTGCCCTGAGTGGGGGTTGCCCTGTGCTGGGGACAGTTCTAGGTGCTTCACATAGACTACCTCCTGAAAGCATCGCGACAGCCGTGAAAAGTGGGTGCTGCCGCGGTGCCCGTCTTACAACGAGGGCACTGAGACCCAGCGGGAGCGCTCACCCCGCTAGTGGGCGTCAGAGCTGGGAGCTGAGGCTCCGGAGTCTGTGTTTTCACCATCTAACACCACAGTGTCTCCTGAAGTGCATATTAAGCGTCTGTCCCATGGCACGCACTGCGCTAGCCCCTGAGGCTGTGGCACTGAGGCAGACAGACTTGCATCCTGCTACCCCGAGGCTCACAGGCGGGGAAACGGAGGGTGTGCTAACAGGTGAGGTCACGGGGTCGGCAGAGCAGGTTGTGAAGAACATCAAATGCAGGTCTAGCGAGGGTGGGGGCGGGTCTTGCTGCTTAGGCTTCGAGGTAAGGTCAAGGCTGACAGATTAGCAAATGGAAACCCGGAACACCGGAGTAAACTTGAATTTCAGGCGAACTCCAAGTAATTTTTAGTGTAAGTATCTCGTGCAGTTCCAGGAATACACCTACAGTCAACATTATTGGTGGCGAATCTGTAATTAGAATTGAGCTGTGTTGAATCCAGCAGAGGTGGCCTCTCCAAGCTGATGGGATGATCTTGGGGTGTCGCTCCCCCTCTTCATGGAGGAACGACACTAAACCCTGCCTAGGCTTCATATCCGAGTCACGGCACCATTATGTCGCTCCCCCTCTTCGTGGAGGAACGACATAGGACCCTGCGCTGTTCTTTCGTCTGCTCGGCCTTTCCCGGGTTTGCTGCTGGTTCTTCCCGGATTGGCTACCGTCCCTTCCACCTCCGTGGAAGGGCGGTTCCCCCTGCCACTTTCCCCACTTCCGCGGGGGAGCGGCACACCGCCGGCCGGCTCTCTCGGGGGCTGCTCAGGTGTTATTCGGATAGATGTTCCTGGTGCATGTTGTCTCTCTCCTCCTTTATAGTCCTCTTCCACCAATCCCAACTCTGCTACCCACACGCCGAGTACGCTGCTCTCCTCCAATCAGGAGCAGGTCCTGCTGTTTATTGGTTGAACTGGAGGCAGCTGTGTAGAAGCTGTTTCCTCCTCTCCCAGTGCCATATTGTGGGAGAGCAGATGCATAGAATAAGTCTTAATTCCAGTAACAGTCTAGTCTGAGTTGCTCCCCACATTGGGGGGCAAACATTCCAGCCCCAGAGAAGAAAGGGCACAGACCCCGAGCTGGGAGCCAGTCTGCAGCAGGAGCGGAGGGAGCCATGGGCAGGGTTCAGGGCTGCCGTGAGGACCAAGGCGAGGACCACAGGTTTGAGTCTGCCACAGGAAACCACTGGAGGTGTTCAGCACAGGAGTAGTGTGGACAGAGTCAGGAGTTCTATAAAGTTCATCTATTTTATATATGTGAAAGGTAGAGAGAGAGAGAGAGATTGAGATCTTCTACCTGCTGGTTCACTCCCAAAATGTCCCTAAGAGTCCAGGAACTCCATCTGGGTCCCTCCCGTGGGTGGCAGGGGTCCGAGCACTTGAGCCGTCATCTGCTGCCTCGCAGGGTGCAGGAATAGCATAGTTGGTGTTCAGGGAGCATCTACCATGTGCTGTCTGAAGCACTTCGTACAGATTCACCTTGACATGTCACAGCAGCAGTTTGATGAGGATGTCGTTATTGCCAGTAACTTACAAATGACAATGCAAAGACTCAGGGTCATTGTCTTTTCCAGGGTCACAGAGCTGATAGCCAGGGGAGTTGGGCTGTGAACCTAGGCAGGCTGGCTGCGGAACCTGCACACAGCACTTAGGGGTTGGACAATGGCAGTGGTCATGGGGACTTCCAGTGTCTCAGGACAATACTACTAGTAGTTTTCCTTGGTTTGGTTTGGTTTTTACTAATTTACTTAAAAGTCAGGTTGAGGGCTCTTCCATCCACTGGTTTACTCCCCAGATGGCTGCAACAGCCAAGGGTGATTCAGGCTGAAACCAGGAACCTGGAACTCCATCTGGGTCTCCCGTGTGGGTGCAGGGGCCCATAACTGGGCCATCCTTTCATTGTCTTCCCAGGCATTAGCTGGGGGCTGGATTGGGAGTGGCTTAACTCTGTGTCACAACGTCGGTCCCTGACAGTAGGGATATGTAAGCCAGGGGAGAGTCCCGGCTCTTGGCTGCAGAGGGAACTTTTTAGTTCCTTACGTATGGGTGGGACTTCCTCCTGCCATTCATGTGCTCGTGATCTGAGCCTAGCCCCACTCTGTGGTCCTTCAGGCCTTTCAGGGGCTCCCAGATACACGGTCAATGCCTGTCACTGGCGACAAGAAAGATTCTCTCTGACTTCTGCAGCCAAGGCCATGGTTCCAGATGTGTCCAGCACCGCCCCTTACCATGTTGTTTGGGTTCCGGTGAGCCCCTGGAGTCCAGACTTCTCACCCCTCTCCTTCAGCCTCGATGGGACCTTGGGCTCATTTGAGCAGGGAAGATGGACAAGGTCTGCTCAGGCAGTGAGGGGGTCCTGGGGGCCCCTCTTTTCCTTCCCGGAATATCAGGAGTGCATGCAGTGGGGGAGGGGCTTGTGGTTGGGGACTCAGTGTGTGTTTCTGTGTGACGCTGATGATGGTGGCAGTGGTGTTTGGAGCACATGGTGTGTGTTGCGCTGCAGGTTATGAGGGTTCTCTTGGGGACGCAGCAGGGCTGTTTGTCCTGGTGTGTGTGTGTGTGTGTGTGCGTGTGCACATGCGTGTGTGTCTACTCTGGGGGACTGGGACCTTGTGTTGATATTTTTTCCCTGTAGATTCACGTTTGTTGATTGTGTTTGTGGAGCGTTTTGAAGTATTGCCTCGTGCGTGTTGTGTGCCAGGCATTTTCTACTGCTCTGGCATGTATAAGTTGTCTGCTCGGCCAGCAGCCCAAGTGCTGGGGCTGTGTTACTGCATCCACCGTGTGCTGCCGTGCGACCTTGCCCCTGGTCACCTGCTGCTCGGGCAGCCTGGGTTCCTAGTGCTCTGTTTGTTTCGTCCTGGTGCTGCAGGGCCCTTTGGGATTTGGTCCGTGGGGTTGTGGATCCGTCTCCCCCTGCCATCTCGTTCCTGTGCACAGGGGTTAAGAGCAGTAAAATCCCAGTTCTGCCACTGCACTCAGCACGAGCCCCGGGGCAAGTCGCTGTACCTTGATTTTTCCATAATTGCAGAGTAAGGTGATGGGAAGGCTGGGTGAGTTTACCCTCCTGCCCAGAGAGCAGGATGTGCCTGTACTGGTGTGCTCAGCCCCCCATCCTCCATGCCCCATCCCCACGTGGCCATCAGCTCAGCGCATCGCTTGGCTAGTGCACACAGAGCCTCTGACACGAGCAGGGCGGCTGGGGCTGTCACTTGTTCAGAAGCCATTCTCCCCCCTTGGCCTCCTTCCTGCAGGTTTCCACGGAAGGGTGGCCGGGGGTTTGTTTAGAAACAAGGCAGGCTGCCTGCTCTGCATACCACCTCTTCCTTCCTTAGCTTCTTGGGGTCTCTTCCTCCGCCAAGGTCAAGACCCTGCAGCCTTTCCTCCCCAGTGACCTTACCCAGGACATCTTTGTTTGGGCCTTGGAGAATTCTGAGCCTTCTGGAACCAGGACTCCTCAGTCGAGGGCTTCCGGCTAAGAAGGCTCCTGGCCTTCCCGTTCTGGAAACTCTGACTGATGGTTGAGGACCCCATGACCCCCAGGTAACCTCTAGGCTGGTAAAAGACCACCTGTGCCCTCCAGGGTCTCCGTGAGTAAGGGGCTTTTGTCAGCTCCACCGTACAGATGAGGAAACTGAGGCACAGGGGGGTCTGGGAACTTGCCTGAATTCACAGCGAGGAAGTGCAGCTGGCATTCAAGTCCAGGTCACTTGCGTCCAGTCCTTGCTGTTGACCCTGGGCTGTGCTGCGTCCCGAAAGGTCACCAGAGGGCAGGATGCAGAACTGGGGCAGGAGGGAAGCCAGCAGCCTCTCCGGGGTCTGGGCTGGTCCTTTCCCCCCAGGCCTGCTGGCCCAAATGTCTGCCCTCTTGCCGTGGCCTGTCTCCCACGGGCTGTGTCCCTGTCTTGCAGAAGGACAAGTTCTGCGTGTACGAGGAGTATTGCAGCAACCACGAGAAGGCCCTGAGGCTGCTGGTGGAGCTGAACAAGATCCCCACCGTGCGCGCCTTCCTGCTGGTGAGTTCGCCCCTCCCGTCCTGTGCCAGCCCAGGGACACTCAGTGCCCAAGCAGACCCCATGCTCACCGTGCTGCCTGATCCCTTCTGGTCTAAAGCAGGGCTCTGCAGACCCCTTTTGTGTGGTGTTAGCTGGGGGTCTTGTAGTGTTAGCTGCTTGCCATGCAGTCGCTGTCTTGATGACTCATGCTGTTGTAGCACAGATGCAGCCATAGGTGCCAAATAAAGGAACGAGTGACTCTGTGTTTCAATAAAACTTTATTTACAGAAACAGATGAAGCGCCAGACTGAGGTCAAAGTTGTCAATTCCTGGTCTAAAGGAATGGTGCTAATACAGTTGGTAGTGATAGTAGTGATTACAGCTACTGTATTTTTTTTTTTAATTTTATTTTCTTTTTATTTTTTTGACAGGCAGAGTGGACAGTGAGAGAGACAGAGAGAAAGGTCTTCCTTTGCTGTTGGTTCACCCTCCAATGGCCGCCGCGGCCAGCGCGCTGCAACCGGTGCACCGCGCCGATCCGATGGCAGGAGCCAGGTGCCCCTCCTGGTCTCCCATGGGGTGCAGGGCCCAAGCACTTGGACCATCCTCCACTGCACTCCCTGGCCACAGCAGAGGGCTGGCCTGGAAGAGGGGCAACCGGGACAGAATCCGGCGCCCCGACCGGGACTAGAACCCGGTGTGCAGGCGCCACAAGGCGGAGGATTAGCCTAGTGAGCCGCGGCGCCGGCCTACAGCTACTATATTGTTACTAGGATTACTGCCATTATTAGGATTATTTAATTATAACTGAAAGAGAATCCAGATAAAATTGACTCAAGAAAAACAGCATCAAGGGGCTGCTGTGGCATGGAGTGAGAGGTTCAGCTGGCACTTGTGACACCAGCATCTTTTTTTTTTGTTGTTAAGAGTTTATTTATTTATTTGAGAGGTAGAGTTACAGACAGTGAGAGGGAGAGACAGAAAGGTTTTCCTTCTGTTGGTTCACTCCCCAGATGGCTGCAATGGCTGGAGCTCTGCCAATCCAGAGCCAAGAGCCAGGTGCTTCTTCCCGGTCTCCCATGTGGATTCAGGGGCCCAAGGACTTGGGCCATCTTCTACTGCTTTCCCAGGCTACAGCAGAGAGCTGGATTGGAAGAGGGGCAGCCGGGACTAGAACTGGCGCCCATATGGGATGCCGGCGCCGCAGGTGGAGGATTAATCTTTTGCGCCACGGTGCCGACCCTGACACTAGCATCTTATATTGGAGCGCTGGTTTCGGTCCTGGCTGCCCTGCTTTTGATCCAGCTCCAGGTTAATGTGCCAGGGAAGGCAGTGGATGGTGGCCCAAGTATGGAACCAAAATGGACGTTTTGGCCCCTGACTTTGGGCTTTACTAGTCTGGACCATTGTGGCCATTTCGGGAGTGAACCTGCAGGTGTAAGAGCTATCTTTCTCTCTCTCTCTCTGCTTCCACCTCTCTCCCCTGCACCCCTCCCATCTCTCTCTATTGCTCTGCCTTTCAAATAGATCTTTTACATAAATCTGAAAACAGAAAAACATCATCAGAGAACAAGTTTCCTGGCTCACTTTTCTGGGAAGCGTAAGAGCTGAGAGGCTTGGCTGATCAGGGCCGCGTCCCTGGGCTCTACTTTTCTCTTCCTAGGCAGATTCTCCCCCGCTGCTGGCACCATGGGCTCCAGCAACTGCATGCTGCTATTTCTCAGAGCTAAGCCACTCCAGGGCTAACAGAGACACCCCCCCCCCCCTTAGCAACAGTAAAAATCCCAGGTCTGATGCTCATTGGCTCAGCTTGGCCCAGAACCTGATCTCTGAACCAGTTGCTGTAGACAGAGGTATTGGGTGGTGTTCTGATTGGGCAGTGCTTGAGCTGGGGGAGAGGGGGAGTCAGGTCCATCTATACGATAGGGCCTGAAGGTCCAGTGGGTCCTTAAAAGGACAGTCCACGTAGGTAAGCTGGGTGGGTGTTGGCCAGGCGGAACAGCAGACACCCCTGCCAGTCTTCCCAGCATTAAAAGAACTGCCCATACATATAAAATAGCTTCTCATTTGTCTCCTGGAGCCTTCCAAGCCACTCTGTCCTGTGTGTGTTAAGATGCACCTGTGTGTGCCCTCGGGCATCCTACATAGGAGCGGTGTGGATAGGCAGGCGTTGATTTCTCCCTCACATCAGCTCTGTGGGTGTGGACAGCTATGGGGTAGTCCAGTGTCTGGTGGTAGGGACCAAGGCCCTGAGGAAGGGCCCTGACACACATGGCTAGGATGACCTCCCGCCACGTGCTCAGTCTGGCAGGAGGGGGCAGGTGGGGCAGGAGGGCATGCATGTCCTCCTTTTAAGGGTGTAACAGGGGTCATGGCCCGCTCTTCTGCTCAGGTCCCATGGTCTATAACTTAGTCCCTTGGCCCCTGGCTGCAAGGGAGCCTAGGGAATGTGGGCTTTATTCTGGGTCTCCCCGGGCCTTGCTGAGAACTCTCGCTGTGGGAGAATGCTGGGGAGAATGCGGGGGTGGGGGTGGGCTGTGTTTGGTGCAGGGGCGCCTTTGCCACAGGTGATTTTGATGGCTGCAGAGTATGAAGGGCCTTTCTAAGGGGACACACTTGAAAAGCCACTGAGCTCAGCAGGGTTTCGCCTCTGAATGCCCCGGATTCAGTCACATCCCACCGCCCCCATTCTGGTTTGTTTTCCCAACAACATCCCTGGAATTCCGAATCCAGGGCAGGGAGATGGAGCGATCAGCTGGCGTGGCGCAGGACACTCTCCTGCAGAATGCAGCTTTTCGACGCACTGCTCGCAGGGCAGTCTCCAGCCACATCCGTCCCACAGTCCGATGGAAGAATTTGCATGTTTCCTTCCCAAGCTAGCACGTGCTGCCCAGCCCACTTCCAGTGAGCGTCCGAGGCAGGGCCATCTGGTCAGCTGCTCTCTCCATTTTTGGCTCGATTGTGTTCAACTTTTTGTTGCTGGTGTCTGCATCTTCACATTTCTGTTTTTATACTGGGGTTCCCAACGTAGTCTGGGCAAAACACAAGAAGTGTCTTCAGTAGGAGACCAGCCACGCGCACGGGGGAGACGGCCGTATTTATGCCCTGACCTGTCGTTGGCTCACGGCTTGCCTGACCCAGGGTCCCACCCTCTGAACATGTCCCCTCGGACTTGGCTGGGTCTTGGGAAGCAGAAGGGGGACAGGAACGTGGCACGGCAAGTGCCCAGTTCCTCTCCTGCTTTGCTCTCTCGTGAGCAGTGTTCCTGCTGGCCCAGGCTGCCATTTTCCTTGCAGCAGCCGGGCTGGGCCAGGCAGGGGAGGGCGAGTGGGGCGCCAGCTCACCTGCCATCTGGCTCCTTCCTTGCCAGCGTCACTCAGTCTCTGGCCTCCTGTGGAAAAGCTGCTGAGAGACCCTGAGGGGCAGTGAAGGGGTGGGGAAAAGCCAGAACCTGCCTTTCTGTGTGTGGTGTGTGTGTGTGAGTCCTCTGGGCTGGGGACTTTACCTTTCTGTGCCTTAGTGTTCTCGTCTGTAAAATGGGGGTGGTTTGTTCATTCAGCACCTCAGCAAGGAGTGGCCTTTGGTTAGGGAGGTCGGTGGTACAGGATGTGGAGGAAATTGAGTAGCTATGGGTGACAGGATGTTCTGAGGGAGTTGGAGTGGTGGGTGCTGTTTTCGGTTGGTCTTTAGAAAACTGTGTCTTAGGTGAGTTTAAGCAGGGATGCAGACAGAGTGAGAGGGAGGTAGGGTACCTGGGTGGAAAGAATTCCAGGTGGTGGGGCCATCCTTTGATGCAGAGGTCAAGTTGCTGCCTGGGGTGCCCTCATGCCATATGGGAGTGCCTGGCTTTGAGTCCCAGCTTTGCTGTCCATTCCAGCTTCCTGCTGATGCGCACCCTGGGAAGCAGTGGGTGGGGTGATGCACACCCTGGGAAGCTCAAGGGCTTGGGTCCCTGCCACCCACAGGGGAGACCTGGATAGACTTCCTGGCTCCTGGCTTTGACTTGGCCTGCCTCAGCTCTTGTGGGCATTTGGGGAATGAAGCAGCAAGTGGGGAGATCCCTATCTGTCTCTACTTTTCAGAAAAATTTAAAAATCCACAAATGCACACACACCACACACCCTACCTTCACACACACACACCACATATCTCGCATGCACACACACACAGTTCCAGGCAGAGGAAGGGCAAGTGCAGCCACCCTGGGCTTGTGGAGTGAAGGGTGTCGGAGGCAGAGGGGGAGGAGCAGAGCTCTGGGACGTTGGAGGAGGCAGGTGTGGGTGCTGCAGCAGGATTTGGTCCCTGCAAGGAGTCTGGGGTTTTTCAAAGGCTTTCTTACTGGGGTGTGGTGCACCTGCAGCGAGGGCACTTCCAGGAGATGAGTATCTCCTACAGCCACACCTGTGATGCCAGCCCTCAGCCAGGAGTTGGGACACCTGCTCCTCCCCAGTCCTGCACTCCTGTGCCTCTGGGAGTGAACACATGCTCAGTTTTGCCTCTGCTCGAGGTTTATCCGAATGGGCTCACCCTGGAGGCTGTGGGCCTGGCTGCTTTGGCCTAGCCTGCTGTCCAGGAGTCACTGCGTCGGCGCCCGTGGCAGGTCATTGCAGCCTGCGGTCCTGCCCACAGTGGGATGCAAAGCCCCAGAAGGGTTTGAGCAGGGGAGCGGCCAGGATTCCTGTGCATCGTGAGAGGGCTCGTGGCTGGGTGTGGGTGTGAGGGTGGGACCGAGGGGGCCAGGCGAGGTCTTACCCATGTCCCAAGGGTGCCTGAGCACCCGCATGCACGGGGGCTGAGCACAAGCGAACCTCGCAGCATTGGAGGCCATCCGGCTGCTCTCCCGGCGGCCCTGGCGTCCGGCCCTGCCTTCCAGTGAGTGTCCTCAGTGAGCCCTGCTGCGGCAGCATCACTCTGCCCTCTCATCCTCCTTCCGTGGCCACCTTGCCTGTGTCCTCTCTTCCTGACACGGGGTCTGTCCCCATCTTAATCAGCTGCACCTGTGGGAGCCCCTTCCTCATGAGGTCACACTTGAGGCTCTGGGTGGACGTGGCACCTGGGAGAAATCGTTCAACCCCTTGCAGGGCTACTGCACCTGTCTAGGCAGGAGGCGACGGTGGCTCGAAATAGGGTGCTGCTGGAGGCGATGGCCAAGGTCCCTTGGTGAGGGGTGCAGCCTGGGGGACCCTCTGTGACCCATGGCTCCGGGATGGGAAGGAATGACTGCAGTCAGAGGGGATGCCAGGGTCTGGACCTATGAAGGTGGGTGAGATTTCACTTCAGGGGTGGGAGACCCCAGGTGCCTGATAGACCGTGCAGACGTGGGGTCAGGCTGGTGGCCCGAGAGTGGAGGCTGGAGTTCAGGGAAGGGGCCCGTGAGAGATGGCAGGCGGAACATTTCTGCGCAAGCTACTGTTCAAGTCTGTGAGTCTGGGATTGGCAGAAAGCGGGTGTGGATGGCGGGGAGACCAGGGAGAGGCCAGGCAGGCGGCAGGAGGCCAATGCTTCCCCGTTCTGTGCACCAGGAGGGCCGAGGAGGTAATCCCTAAGCTCCCCCCACCTCCCTGCATGTGATGAGAGAATGGGGAATGGTTGTGAATGGTGGCTCTGTGTGGGTTGGCTTCTCTTTTTTAATGAAAAGAAAGTGAAACAACAGTCTGAGTGTGGTTGGTGGCTAGGTTGGCCCTGTGCAAGTGCCTTGATCCTGGACAGAGACCCGCCCTACTCCTGCCAAGCACTCGGGGCTTCTGGAGAGCCCCAACCCCAACCCCCAGGCTCCCTGCTCTCTGCACAGAGCTGACATCACCAGGGCAGATTCTTGCCAGTGCTGGCTTGGAGGACAAAGGCCTGAGTGTGAGCAGTGAGGGGCCTGGCATCTCCCAGCAGCCTGCATCCCCCATCTGTGCCAGTGCCCAGCAAGGTCTGGGGTCCCCAGGATGCTGTCTCCCCAAGGAGAGAGTGGAGATGGCTCTGAGTCTGGGATCAGCTTTCCATGCCGCAACTTCCCCGTGGGTCACAGGGAGACTGTGGTCCACGCTGCGTCCTGTGGCCATGAGCATGGGCCTTACGCGTATGGAAGGCATAGAGTGTGTGGCGGGCACACAGTAACTGCCCTCTGGTTTCCTTTTCACTTGGAGTATCAGCAGGGTCACTGGGCAGTTTCCCAACAAAATGTCCTGGAACTGTGCCCAGTACTTAGTAAGCACACAGTGTGTGCTTGGTGAATGCGTGAATGAAGGATAGGGTGGGAATCCCTTTCCCCAAGAGTCCTGCCTCATTTGCAGTCTGCTGGCGTGGTGTTGACTGAGACCCCTTCATTGCTGTGTGCGCTGGCGGTCTGTTCATTCACGAGCTTGTTTGTGAATTCATTCACTTGTGCATGCATCCAGCACCTCCTGAGCGCTGGGGCCCCGGGACTGGGAGGGGCATGGCGCCCCCCCCACCCCCCCACCCCCCACCCCGGCGCGTAAGCTGCAGCTCCCGCCACCCACAAGATGGAGTCTTCAGTTGGAGCCCCTCCAGCGGAGAGCACAGTGGTGTAATGTGAGCCACAGCCTGTGGAACAAGCGGCCTACTGTGCAGGCTCCAGGAGGAAGGCGTCCCGGGAGCGAGTGCAGGTGGGCTGGCCGGGCTGGCTCTGGCCGAGGGGCAGGCGCTGGGGGGACGGCATATGGGCCTCCCAGCTCCCGGCTTCCGTGCTGCATCTGCCAGGCTGGTTCTAGACCCCATGTCTGTGGCTCACTTGTTCTGGGGTGACCTTGAGGTGAAAGACTAAATCTATCGGGCCTCAGTGTTTCAAGCTGCAAAATAGGAATCGTGGTTTTCAGTGCACAGGGAGAGAGGTAGTCAGGATCTGTCTCCATCAGTGTTAGCAGTTGGTGAGGATGGTATTGTGTGATTGGTGGTGGGACGAGGAAGAGAAAGATTCTAGCCGAGGGGCTGGCCTGCAGGAAGTACCAGCGGGGAGGAGTTACTGCTAGAACTGCAAGTTTTGACTCTGCGACCAGAATACAGGTATTCATGCCATAGCACCACGTCCCTACCTCCCAGGTGGAGATGCAGACGTCTTCACGGCGGTGAACGAGTCCCAGTCCCATCCCCCGGTTGGCACTGACGAGTTGCTTTCCCACGCAAGTCCTGGCATTGACTGTTTGCAGGCTACGCCTCATTCTGTTTCCTGTGTCTTTATGAGATCTGTGAACGAATTCACGCCGAGCACTTCTTGAGTTTTTCCTTTTTGCTCAAGAGTCTGTTTGGGGGCTCGCCCACATCCCTGTGTGGTTTGAGCCTCCCGTTTGCACTGCTGTGTGGTGTGAATCCGCTGCAGCCGGGCTGAGAGACGCACAGCCGAGCTTTGCTGCCTTGCTGGCTGTTTAGGTTGCTTCTCGTGTCCTGTCTCCTGGGGTGCACGTGTGAGAGTCTGTTGGCCAGGGACCGGCCCACATTTCTGTAAGAAGCCAGGTGGTGGACGTGGTGTGCTTCGCACCTCCGTGGCTTCTGCTGCCCCTGCTCAGCTGTGCCCGGACAGCTCGAGAGCAGCGACAGACGCCGTGCGCTGGACGTGGCTGTGTTCCAGCGAAGCTCTGCCCGAGCAGGAGGCAGGCGAGCGCTGGGCTGGGGGCCGTTGTGGGCCAGCCCCTGATGCCATCTTTGTGCTGCGCCGTGGCTCGCAGCCTGGTCACCCCTCCCGGGTGTTGCTGAGCTGCTTCCCCAGCGACTGTGGGTTGCTGTATTCTGCGGGCATTCCCTGTGGTTGCAGGAGGGTGGCCCCTTCCCTGTGCCACCCCTGCACGTTCTGACAAAGGTCTCTGTCCCTTTGCAGAGCTGTATGCTCCTGGGCGGCCGGAAGACCACGGACATCCCCCTGGAGGGCTACCTGCTATCCCCGATCCAGAGGATCTGCAAGTACCCGCTGCTCCTCAAGGTGAGACGCTCAGCGGTACTCCCCCACCCACAATGCCTTCTGCTGCGAAATCAGGCGCCTCGGACCTCGTGGCTGAGAAGTGTCGTGGTGCTGCTGGCTTGGGGCCAGGGCCTGTCTCTGTTTCTCCTGTTCGTTCTCGGCACTGTTCAGCTTTCTTTTCAGCATGTAGCAGATGGCTGTCATCACCCTGGCCTCACACTCTCTCAAGTTTAAGGTCAGTGAGAAAGTGAACATCACTTCTAGGAGTTCTGATGGACGTCCCCAGATTTCACTCGCGCTTTGACCATCTGTGGCCGGGGCACGTGCTACTCCAGGTGTTTGGGGTCTGAGTCGTGTGCTTTGGTTCCCACCAATCACATAAAGCCTTTGCTTGTGTTATTAATGACTGTCTGACCCGATCACTGCGATCTGGGTAGTGCTGTGCTCTGATTGGCTGAGACTTGGGTCTGCAGTCCACTCTGATCCAATGATAGTGAGCAGAGCAGTGCTGTGCTCTGATTGGCTGAGCTTTGGGTCAGGTGCTTCTCCTGAACCAATTTGAGTAACTCAGACTTGGGTCTTGTGCTGTAACCATGAGTCAGTGAGGGGGGGTCCCCTGGGCATCCAGTCTCATGAGTGGGGGCTGCTGGAGCCTCTGACCAAGGTCTGGGCTACTCCTGGAAGGAGGAGAGGAGGCAGGCGTGGTTACTGAGCACAAGCCACAGCCGTCTGCACGCCTGCTGCTTCCCTCCTTGCTGGGTCCTAGAACAGGGACGGGTTTACTGCTGCGTGGGGACCCATGAGTCTGGAATCTCCGTGTCAGAGATGGCCAGTGGGCAGACCTGGAGCGGCGTGCATGGTACTGCCACCATCTGCTGCTGTCAGCCCGGGGTTTTCGCCCCATGGAAATGGCGGCCGTCGGCCAGAGCCTGCCCTGGCTGCGTCCCGAAGGCCTCCCATCTGACAGCTGCTGCCTGGGTTCTCTGTGGGGGCTTAATTTGGCTGGTGGTGCCTCGTTCATGCACCTGCTAGAGAGACCGCCAGTATCCTTGCTCTGTGCCCTGGAAGGGAGCGGGGAAGGGTACTAGGGAACCCTTGAAGTTGACTTTCTGGTGGAGAAAGTGGGTGGCACTCAAGCCTCTGAGCTGGACCAGACCCTGGGGCCATGAGCTACCCATCCACACAGGCCTTCTGCGTGTGCTGCTGCTGTTGTGTGTGTGTGGTTTCTGTGTGTATGCTGTGTGTGTGGTGTGTGTCTGTGTAGTGTCTGTGTTGTATCTGTGTGTGTGTGGTACCTGTGTGTGTGTGGTGTCTGTGTGGTATCTGTGTATGTCTTTGTAGTATCTGTGAGTGTGTGTATGTGGTATGTGTGTTGTATCTGTGTGTATGTGGTCTATGTGGTATCTGTGTAGTATCTGTGTGTTTGTGGTATCTGTGTGTGTGGTGTCTGTGTGATATTTATGTGTGTGTGTGGTGTCTGTGTTGTATCTGTGTATGTCTGTGTAGTATCTGTGTGTGTGTATGTGGTGTGTGTTATATCTGTGTGTATGCAGTCTGCGGTGGCTATGTAGTATTGTGTGTGTGTGTGGGGGTATCTGTGTATGTCTTTGTAGTATCTGTGTGTGTGTGTGTGGTGGGTTGTATCTGTGTGTATGCGGTCTGTGTGGTGTCTGTGTAGTATCTGTGTGTGTGTGTGTGGTGTCTGTGTATGTCTGTGTAGTATCTGTGTGTGTGTAGTATCTGTGTGTTGTGTGTGTCTGTAGTATCTGTGTGTGTGTGTGTGTGGTGTCTGTGTATGTCTGTGTAGTATCTGTGTGTGTGTTGTGTCTGTGTGTGTGTAGTTTCTGTGTGTGGTGTGTGTCTGTAGTATTTGTGTGTGTGCTTTGTGTGTGTATGCATAGTAACTGTGTGTGTTGTGTGTGTGTGTATGTGTGTGGTGTGCATTGTGTCTGTATGGCATGTGCATGCCTGTGTGTGTGGTGTGTGGTGTGTCTGTGTGGTGTATGCATGCCTACGTGAGTGTGTGTGTCTGGGTGTGTGCACTGGGGATACAGTTTTCTGTGCCCCCACTCCTACCAGCTGCTTCTTGACCCCCAGGGGCCCCCAGAGGCCCTCCTCTGCTGTCCTTGCTGCTGCTTTGATCCCTGCACAGGTGTTGGAAGTGCTGTCGTGCAGCCCTTCGCCTCAGCGGGGAAGGAGCACCAGGTGGAACTGGGGACTCGGTGGCCTGTGGCCCCGGGCCTGCTGCCGTGTGGTTCGTGGGTCTGGTTGGGGCTCTTTCCACACTGCAGTAGTTGCCAGCGTTCAGAGAGTGGGATGCTGTAGTGGTTTCTAGGAGGGGTGGCAGAACTGTGCTCCATGGGCCACGCCCCTCCTTTGGCCAGTTTCTGTGCAAACCGTGAGCGAAGAGTGGTGTTTGCATTCTTGAAAGGGCTGTAAGGAAAGCAGACAACAGCAGTCAGCCGCACAGAGCAGGAGCAGGAGCAGCAGCAGAGAGCATCTGTGGCCAGCGGGGACTGAAGTACTTCCTGTCTGGCCCTCGGAGACCCCTGGGTTGGAGTGCTGGCTCCCTCGTTTCCGAGCTCTGTGGTCTTGGGCGACTCACTTCACTTCCTGTGCTTGTGATGAGCACGTGTGTCCTTGGGTGCTGTCACTGGCCTCATCTGGGATAGAAGGCAGCACAGTGAGGCCACGTGGTGGGAAGCAGTAGGAGCATAATTAAAGCAGTCCGATGGCAGAGTGCTGCTGCCAGCCAGATGGCTTCCATGTCTGTGGGAAGCACTTTGTGTAGTAAGATGGCCGAAGAGCTTGGGTGGCAGCAACACTGGCCTCCTGGGTCCCCGAGGGGAGGTGTAGGAAGGTGGGGGCCCTCTCCCCCAGCCTCAGGACAGACTTCTGGATCGTGGGCCAGTCCGGGGCCCTGGCACGTGGGGCTGGGCCTGTGTGAATGCGTGGATGCTGAGCTTGGTGGGAGCCCCCTGCAGTTTTTGTTTCCGCTCAGATCTCCCCAGGGGCCAGAGTTTGGGCCCCAGGACAGCTGGGCTCTGGATTCTCTGGTGGGAGGGGACAGAGATGGGCAGAGCTGCCCAGCAGCCCCTGGAGGCAGCAGCCCACAGGAAGTGGCTCCGGGGCCCGTGGGTGGCTGTCCTGACCACATGGCTGTTAACACTGCCCGGCCTGCAGCTGTGTCCGTGGGGCAGGGCCAGCAGGGCCTGGATTCCTGCCTGGCAGAGCTCTCGGTGTCCCGGCCTCTGGCCTGTAGCCGGGTGTCTGCAGCAGCAAGCAGCTTGGCCGCAGGGGCGCTCTGCACCCGCCCCAGCTCTGTGGCGGTCACTGTTCAGTGGAAGATGATGTCACGATGTCCCTGTGGCACCCCCGGGGTGGGGGCTGATCTCCGAGTGGCGGGGGCACGTGGGGCAAGGACCCAGGTGGGAAGAGAACGAAAGCCTATTTGGGAACAGCCCCAGAAAGCTGGACTTGAACATTGCCTGAAAATAGCCGGGACATTCTGTTTTGGCTCCTCAGCCTGACCTGGGCCAGGTGGGTGGTGTTTTCAGACTTGCTGAGTTTCCCCACTGTGTCCAGGGGAGTGGCTCAGGCTTGGGGTGATGCCCTGGAGGGGGCCCCCACTGCTGCTATCATAGCCCCCCGTGCTGTCTCCTGGGGGCGCATGCATCTTGCAGGGCTACCTGCTGTGTGCTGGCTGCTGGTGTGGCTCAGGAGCCACACTTGTGGACTAGATGGCCCTGTGCCCGGGCATTGAAGCCTGGAGTGTAATGAGAGCCCCTGGGAGGGGGGAGTGGGGTGGCCATGGCCTGTGCAGAGGGGGCAGCGGCCCCCTTTGCCCCCTGCCTCCCCAGCTACCTGTGATTGCTCTTTCGCTCTCCCTGGTCTCCCAGGCCTCTGAACTCAGGTGGCCCTCGCTCGGCCCTTGGCCTGTTCTCTGTCCAGACTTACTCGCTGGTGGCCTTGTCTGCTCTGAGGTCGTTAATAAAGGATTGACCTCAGAGTTCCCCATCCGTCACCAGGATAAGCCGAGAATAGCTTCCTCTCCCCAAGAAACTCACTTCCCGCTGCCCTCCCCGCCCCCAGTCGGCCTGTTCTGGACCTTTCCCACAGGGGGTTTTCTCGTGAGCAGAGTCCCAAGCTTGGCTGCTCCACTTGCCCGCGGATCCCTGTGGTCTCCTGGGGGCTTCCCCGTGGCTTTTGACTCCGCCTCTGTGCAGATGACGTCAGCCTCTCCCTCTGCCCTGAACCCCAGACCTTTCCTCCCAGCCGCTCAGCAGCTGACACATCCAGTGCCAGATACCGGGCTCTCACCTCCCCAGCCCGCTCCTCGTCATGGCTGCCCCCCCCCCCTCAGTAAACCACCCTTCCCTCCTCTGCTTGCCAGTGGAGACCTTGGGGTCATCTTGGCCACCCCACCCCACATCCAGGCTGGAAGGAAGTCCTTGTGGCTACCCCCGAGCCTCCGCCCTGAGGCCAGCTTGCTATGTGCTTCCTGCACTGGGCCTGTCTCCTGGGCCCTGCTTCCACTCCCAGCGGGACACCGCCTCTGTCCTGGGCCCTGCTTTCACTCCCAGCGGGACACCGCCTCTGTCCTGGTCCCCTGCTTCCACTCCCAGCGGGACACCGCCTCTGTCCTGGTCCCCTGCTTCCACTCCCAGCGGGACACCGCCTCTGTCCTGGTCCCCTGCTTCCACTCCCAGTGGGACACCGCCTCTGTCCTGGTCCCCTGCTTCCACTCCCAGCGGGGCACCCGCCTCTGTCCTGGTCCCCTGCTTCCACTCCCAGCGGGACACCCGCCTCTGTCCTGGTCCCCTGCTTCCACTCCCAGCGGGACACCGCCTCTGTCCTGGTCCCCTGCTTCCACTCCCAGCGGGACACCCGCCTCTGTCCTGGTCCCCTGCAGTCTGAGTTGACTCGTGGCACCCATCTCCCCAGAGCCCTCCAGCGCTCACAGCCCACTGAGTAAAGTACAGCCCCCACCGCAGCCACACGGAAGGCCCCACGCGGTCTCA